GTTTTCTTTGCTGCATATATATACATATATATACATCCTAAACGCACATATAATATTTTCTGCTTTATTTTTCATAAATCCATAAATATATATATATGGATTTCTGAAAACCCGTGGTCAGGTTTTATTTTCTGCTTTTAAAATGCATATAAATGTATATATATATATATATATTTCTAATCCTGAATCCAAAATACAAAATTAAAAAAAAAAACTTAAATCTCAAAAATCTAATACAAAAAATGCTTTGATACTAATTGTTTGAAAACTTTTTCAAATCAAACATGATGTGATAAATCTAAACATGTAATCTCGCACTAAATGAATGAGAAATGATAAACGAAAGCGTATATGAATCCATCGCGGAAGATTCGATTGTGTCTTACGGTGTATACTTCTAAATCAACACACAGCTTCAAAAGTTATTTTTCTCTAGCGATAGAATTTCATAAAAATAAAATGACGCGCATGTAATTCGGGAATCATAATTGCCTATTTATGTCTACATATTTTTGTATTTTTTATTTTGTTCATCATAAAATAAGAAATTATAAAAATAGTATCCGCACATATTAAGCACATACCTAAACTTAATGCATTAAGGTCTAATTATATTTAACCGTATTTGATCACTTCTAAACAGACTCATAAATTGATAGTCCGTTACACATATTAAAGTTCACATTAATCCCATTTGTTAAAAAATCCAAATATCTTTTTGGTGAAAAGCATTTTCTAAGGTATATTATATCCATGAACTATATATGCAAGATCACATAGTTAAAGACTACCTAGATCATTTTAATAAAAATTACAAAGACATTAGTATTTGATATTGATATGACCAAACTTTGCATAGATGTTACATAAATTATTGCGACCCATTGCATATGCTTAAATGTTACCTTATTTGCAAGACAAGTTTTCCTGTGTAGAAATTTATCACGTCTCAAAGAGCACTGAGAAATAAGTTAATGTTTGATTGCCCAACTTAATTGCAAAATAATTTTATTTTATGTATTTGGAAAACTTACTAAATTAGTTTTATATTACAATTTGGTTCATGATATATATATATATATTTTTTAGTTCAAATGTTTAATTTCATTTTATTTTCTAATGAAAAAGGTTACAATGAATGTTTTACGGAAAAAATAATTCAAAAAATAACCTTAACTACTTAATTAAATTAGTAAAACCGATAACAATAAAATAAGCCTAATATTATTATTATTAATAATATAAAATCATCCTTTAGACCAAAACTCAGTAAGTTGAATTTGATTTTTTAGTAAGAGACAAACCTTCTATGTTAATATAAAGATCTTCCAATGGGTCATAAGATATATGTACGTTAGAGAAAAAGGTACCATTTCTTTTAATACAATGCTTTTCCTTAAAGATTGAGTTTGAGTATAATAACACTATTAATGCCTAATCTTTCTAATCATTGATGAGGATCAATCATTACATATAGATTTTATTCTGGAAATATATATATATATTACAAAAAATTCCAATTGTATAAACAAGGAAGTAAACATTATGGGAAATTGAAGAAAGGAAAATAAATATTCATTCAACTTTTAAAATTGCTTACACTGTAATACTCACCCATCATTTGAATACCAGTTACAACAAAACATAAAGAATTGAGACAAGTAGAAAAATTGGAAGTTACAGCCCCAAGAATCTGTAACATGTTATAAAGAATATATTTATGAGCTA